AAGTATGGAAATTCTTGATATTGGAACACGATCCGTGAAGTCACACGTAGCGTTGAAACACATTCCAGAGTTTTTGAACGAAAATAATTGTCTGGCTAACATGGGTGAGGAGGGCTTGGAATCATTGCACTCAATCATTGGCAATTTATGCCGTCGAACTAAACGTCTAAATAAACTCGAAACACTCTTATTCGCCACTAAACGACACGCTGTTAATGTCTTGCTATTTGATTTGGGTCTTATTTAATATGAAAGTTTACGACCATGCTTTATGTTTCTTTTTCAGGCGTTATATTTATTCAATTTGTTAATCTCGCATAAATTTAGGTATCGAAATGCAAAAAAATGTTGAAAGAAACGCTTCAAAGACCCAACTAAACCTGTGATTTGTCATCGCTTGGAACATCTTGCTCTTTTCGTTGCTTTGATGTGGTGGTGATGGCTGAAATTCGTCCAAACAAAGCAATCTATTTTAAAAAAACTTCCCTTAAGCATTAATCCAAAATTTGCAGACACATGACGAAAAAACACGACGAGAAAAGCCAAAAGAAAAGAATAAGGAAATGAATGAAAGGAAACAAGCGCGGCTTTTCTACTTCATGCTTTTTGACACGTAAATAGAGTAATATAAATGTCTGGCTGCTTTAAATAGGTTGTTGGCGATTGCCCACGTTTTAGCGGGCAGAAAGTCGCAAAACGTCATTTTCAACTTAAAAAGGCATCAAGTCTTCGCAGAGTTGATCAATTTTTATTTTTTGGTATCAAAATGATCTTTATAAACGTCCACACAAAAGTTATCGGTTTTGAGGGCGCAATCTTTCGACCACGCTGAAAACGAGCCGCCGAAAGTTGGTCGCTGCGAGCGAGTTGCTTGTAAAAGTGCGATTTTTTCGATAAAACGCGATTTTTAAAAAATGTATCAGACGGATTTTGATAATTTTTTCACCATTGAAATCAGCACATTTTTCTGCGTTGAATGGCTATTCAAACATGGAAAACGGATAGAAAACGATTTTTCGCCTTATTTCGCGCGGATGTGGGGTCTGGTCTCCCGCCTCTCAACTTGGTTTTATCTGCAAAAAGAGCTCTCGAATCTGAGAAATGCTTTGTGTTCTTTTATTTGGACAAAAATCAATAAATCTATTCAATCTTCTGAAAACACACAACTGCAAAAAGAGCGCTCGAATCTGAGAAATGCTTTGTGTTCTTTTCTTCGGAATTTGGAGTTTATGAGTGACTTTCTCTCCGAAAATCTTCGGTCAGGTAAGAAAATTAATATCCCCGGTTCGTTGAGCAAGTTTTATGAGGGGCTTTCAAGAAATGAGTTACAAACAATTGTCTTCAACTATTATAAAATGTTAGATCCGGGATTCGACGAGCTTTTAGAATCCTTTCGGTTCGCTCTTGATTGTTGCATTCCGAGTCGGGCAAAAAACTGTTCAATGTTCAAAAATTGCCTGATTTGTTTAAAGTTCGTTCACTATAAAGTAACTGTTGTATTTTGTATCGTCAAATAAATTTATGAGGGAAAAATTGAAGGTATCATAATTCCTGCTAAAGATTCAACAGTTCATCACGGATGATCAGAAATTCGGTCGTTCAACTCATTTACCAAGTTTCTCAAGATCTATCCAATAAGTAATATTAGTTCCTGGCCAGGCTTAGCCTTAGGCTTGGTTGGAACCTGGATTGTTCCAAGCTTTCCGAGCCAAGCCAGGTAATGCTGGACTTCTTCTTTTATTATAGTGTTGAAATCGAGGTACGTTTCACCGAAAGCTCACCCCGGAGATCAATGGGAAACGTTTTGTCAGAGTTCTGCCAGGATTATCGTAAGTAGACCGAGTGTTCTTCTAACTTGACTAAGAACTTGAACTTTTGTCCCACCTGGGCACTTCAGCTCGCGCTCCTGGTCGATCACCGCTTGCCGGAATCTCATGTTGGTCACTCGTTTCTGCTGGCTGCCATCGCATTGGAGTACCGCCAAGATCGCCGAGCCGGATTCGAGAGCCCACGCTTGGGTGAGATTTTCAACGTGTAAATATCAAGATTTATTCCCAGTTTCAATGCATAATTTGGATCAATCTGAGGAAATTCTTTTTGTGAAATAACGCAAAGTGTCTTATCAAAGGATTTCCATCAGAAATGAACACATTTCAGCTTCGGAGCTACCACGGGAAATGGGCGGTCTGCTCCCCTACCCTTCAGTCTTATTTTATCTGCAAAAGGAGCTTTCAATCAATTCTAATAAATGCTTTGTGTTCTGTGGACAAAAACCAATAAATCCTCTCTTACTCGTTTTTTTTTGAAAAGACACAACTGCACATTATCTTTTTCTTTATTTCTGAATTGTTTCTTCAAAATCTCATGACAAGTTTTCCCAAGAACCCAGAATTCCGCCTGAAGCTGCAAGTATTTTGCTCACTCGTCGCTCCTGAATAGACTATTAGATAAACGTGTTGAACATCAATGGACATCAGCATGGGGAAACTGACAATTCTTCGTGAAGGTCGCTCTTCTCGTCCCTCAACTCGTCGATTTGTCTTTGATTTTTGTTCCTGAAGTTCTCAAAAATTCGACGATGCGATAAACAATTTTTTTTACGGAAAAGAGCTTTTGAGAGCTTTGCAATTGTTTCGATAAGCGATCGCCTTCCAACTGACGATTGACTCATTAAGCCGTTGAAACAATCGGTTCGAATAGAACTTCGAACAAAAAAAGTGGCAGTTTAGGAAAAATAAAACCGCTAGGTTGTGTTAAGTTGGTGAATGATAAAACGCGGAGTTTGAAACAAAAATGCGGGTATTTTCATGTGTGTTCCACAGACGTTGCAAAACTGCATTCAACTTCTCGTCGTCGTTCTCATCGTTCTTCCACGGCTTGTTGAAGCTAGAAAAGTAAGACTATTTGAATTTGAAAGAAAAATTATCGTTAGAAAGAGCTAATGCTCTAAAACACTATACACTTACATCCAGATTAAGCCGAGCTAATCGTTTTTCTTTTTCCCAACTTTCCCAACAATTTATTCATCTAAAAATGCTCTTTTATGAGACGCCTAGTATTGTTATTGTTATACAGAAGAATTCTACCGGAAGAAATTCTCTTTCATCATTGCCGAACCCTGAAGCATCACAGGAATGACATGCCCCAGATCATCAATAACATTTGACATTTTTAAAACTTATAAAGAGAAAAAACTACCAGACATATTGTTTGGTAAAAGTCTTGCTCTTGTAGTGGAAGAAACTGTTTTTCCTGAATTGTGAATTCCTGAAAGCTTCTTATTGTGAAGGTTATGAGCATTTACCTTGTTCGAGTTCGAGAAGTTCTTTATTCTTGAATCCGGCATAACGTAATGCCAATTTGTAACGTTTCCTATTGATGTTTCCCGGATAGTAGCCTCCATCATCATCAGATTCTACTTGCTCGAGGTATTGAGATTGCCATTAACGGTCTTGAATTGTAATGAATACATTCACTCAAATCAGCTCACCCAGACTCGGATTTTGCACTCGGGATGTCTTGATGATTCACTGAAAATAGCCGTATTACGTCTGGTTTCTAAAGTGTTGCAAATTTTTATACTTTTGCATAGTTAAACCCTGTCAACAATACTGATACTGAAAATTATTAGATTCAAAAATATTAGAATTCGTTCAAAATAAATTTCAAGGGAAAAGATAAGAGAGTTTCACTGTGAAATTGAGTAAATGCATTTTTGCCAAGTTCCGAAGTATGGCGCTTTTGTAGTGGCCCTACCATACAGGAAAGTTTGTATAATTATAACCAATGTTTGTAAAGACTTTAGAACAATTTAAAATCAATTATTATATCTTAATAATGAGGCAAAAAAGCTTTACCAGCGAGAGGATTCGCACCAGGAACAAAAAAGACAAATTCGAGTCCCACGCCTTAACACACTATGCACTGGGCCACCGAGGCACACAGACAGCCTGGCGTCAAGGCTTTAAATAAGCTAGCTTGCTCTTTGGCGAAAGTGAGCGAAACTTTGAAGGCTTATCTCTGGAAAATGGCTCATGATAAGGATTTGAAGGCAGTTTCGGGATGCCCTTAACCTCTTAGCCGAATCTAGGTGGAAACTATGTGATCATGCGTTATTTCGACATACCTAGCGCCGATTCTTCCCATTTCGAAGAGAAAATTCAGTATAGGGAGAATGTGTTCATTTCTGAAGGAAATCCTTTGATCAAGACACTTTGCGTTATTTTACACAAAGAAATTTCCTCAGATTGAGCGGAATATTTTTTGGATTAATCATGCATTGGAAATTGGAATAAATATTGATGATTTCTCCCTGAAAATCTCACCGCAGCGTGGGTGTACGATTCCGATACCGGGTATTCCTGATGCCAATTGATGAAATCCACTCGACTGAACCTTTGGAGGTATATCATCTGTTTGGGCAGTATTTTGATGTGAAGGCTATAGACATTTCTTTTACAAAAGCAAATGGTTCTTGTTTGGAAGTCTCGGAATTTGAGCGAGAGATGTGCCGGTCAACGGCAATTTTGCAACAAAATTAATATGAATGGTGTGCAGGCCTTTCTCGGCGAAATCATCTTCAATCCTCCCATTGAGGAGATGGAGCTCGTTGAAAAGGTTTAAAATTTGAAGTGCAATGCTTTAAAGTATTTTATCAATAAGAAAACAATAATCTATTCTTTTTAGATCGATTCGGCGCTATCTTATCAGTAGCCTTACCTTATCTTAAGCAGAGTCGATCGAAATGGTAGCCTGGCTCGACCAGTCCAAACTTGGCTCGCTGGCGAGTTAACATCTAGCTACCTAATAAATAAAAGCTAATCGAAATTATAATTTCACTAGTCCCGAAAGTACAATCTCTCGCTACAACCTTGAAGACAACTAAATTTGATTATAGGCGAGAAACAAAGAAAAGGTGGCCACTTCTCTGATCGCTGCTTGCCAGATCGACAACAAAATTCAGCTAAATCCGAATCTTCGTCAAGAAGCTCGAACCATCATGGACAATGTCGTTTGTTGTCGTCGTCGTATCGTACACAGATTTCAAGGATCGAGTCCCAATGTCCCACCAAATGGGCTGATCTTCTTGCCACCTTGTTTACAAAGCTTCTGCTCAATCTCCCCGATGGAGCCATTCCAATTCGTGTGCACCACATGCTCATGTCCACCGGTGTTTCACCAACAGACTTTACATTTATATTCAAGCAAATATTAGGGGTATCGTATAATATATTACTATAATATTATCATAATTATAATAATATTAGGGGTATAAAACTCGGTTTATGTGAAGATTGGGAGAGAATCGATCTAGATCAGACCCAAGCCATTTAGCATCATTTCGACGTGGGTGCCGGAGAAAATCAGTTCCGAGCTTCCGGATTCAAGTGGGGTGACACATCGAGAGATCAACTAGTGGAAATGTATCCGCGTTCTTGACCCACTGGCAACATTTAGATATCAAATCGAATCGCACAAACACGGCGAGCACGGCGTCGATTCGGGATACTTCAAAAATGGACACTTCTAAAGAAAGTGATTGATGATCATTGCTTGCCCAGAATAATAAAGTTCCCATTCAAACCCACACGGGTTTCTCTCTTTTGTGATCTCCATCAAAACTTTGCTCTATTTAGAGTTGTTCCTAATCTTTAGGCACTTGAGCTAATCTGGAAAACGATAACAAATTGCTCGCCTCCCGATCGAACCACGGAACGCCGAGCTTTCGTACTATGCCGTTATTCTATTTAATTTGGACTAATAGGGACTCCTTGGATTGAAAAGAGATTTTTGTTAAAATCAATTAGTCAGGTTTGTCTGTGAATGGAACAGAGTTGTTGAAAGAGAATAATGTATAATATCACTAATATGTACATAGCTAAATGATTTCATCGAACCAATTTCGTCTGAAAATGGGATTTCATTCGCTTTTGACTATAAAGACATATACAGCCCATTATATCTACAATACATACATACATTATCTACTTGCTTAATCGTTATGATTAGCCAAAAAAAAGACCAAAAGCTCCGCCTACAGAACTAACGGTGAGAACAAAAAGAGAGAACAAAAATCAAAGGCAAACCGACGAGTTGGGGGTCGAGAAGAGCCACCTTCACGAAGAATTGTCAGTTTCCTCATGCTGATGTCCATTGATGTTCAACACGTTTATCTAATAGTCTATTCAGGAGCGACCAGAGAGCAAAATACTTGCAGCTTCAGGCGGAATTCTGGGTTTTTGGGAAATCGTTATATGAGATTTTGAACAAACAATTCAGAAATAAAGAAACAGATAATGTGCAGTTGTGTGTTTTCAGAAGATGGAATAAAATCAGATTTATTGGTATTTGTCCACAGAAAAGAACAAAACGCATTTATCAGAATTGAGAGCTCCTTTTGCAGATAAAAGATAACTGAAGGCTAGGTCCCCTGTCCGCCCATTTCCCATTGTCCCGCCAAAGCTGAAATGTGTCCATTTCTGATGGAAATCCTTTGATAAAACAATTTGCCTTATTTTATACATAAATCTCACATAAGCGTGGGTGTTCGAACCCAGCTCTCTAACCCTCCAATTCGTGAAATCTACCCAACTTCCATCCGTCCATTCAAAAGCATTTCCTTTGTTTGGATCTCTCTGAATAAAGAAGTTTTTATCTTCCACCGTTTTTTTATGTTTAGACATTGATATTTCGATCCGATTTTCCTTTCTTATTATTGAAATTATTCTAATTTCCCAATTGAAACCATTATTTCTATCAAAGAACTATCAGTCAAACGAATCTTTTTTACAAAGTGCCTACCGAAAAGGGCCGAAAGAATCATTACTTTCTATTTATCTATTTCGATAAGAAAAATTCAACCTTGAGTCCGATCCAGAACCAATTATACGAATGAACAGTTTTCGCTGAAATAATTATCGGTTGTTTTTGGTTTATAAAGCATATATTTCCACGAAAATCATGAATTTTCAGACTTGAATTATTTCGTTTCTTACCGAGTTCCCAAACATAATCGTTCTCTTCCTTACTGTGAATTGAGACTAAATGACCCTTTCGACTCGCACAGTATGCCACGGCTTCATCGAATGTCATTTTTTGATCGATAACCTTGAGATGAAGATAATCCTGGTTCACAACATTCATCAAACCTTGTACCAAGAAGCGGTTTTTTCGAAATACGACCATCCATCCAGTTCCGAGTTCCAGTTCATCATTAGATTTCTGAATTTCTTCGAAAAGCTTTACTTCAGACTTTTAGTCAAATACCCAATCCTTTTCCTTAAAAAACTCACAAATCACAAATCAACTTCTTGATTTCGGCCGTTTTGTTTTCTCTTTCAAATTGTCTAGAGAGGAATTGATTGGATTGAATGGAATGGGTTTTTTTGGAATGAAAAAACTGTTTTCTCAGGTCTCGGTCGACAAGAGATCCCAAATAGACTCACATATGGGTTTCGAGGTCAGAGTTCTTGCTCTGCAACGCGTTGATTTTTCCTTCGAGCTCTCCAATCTTGGCTTTTCCATCTTTCAATTCCGTATTTTGAGTTCTTCTGAAAAAAGTTCGGATTTTTACTATATATTGAGCTTGTCAAAAAGAAAATTACAAAATTAGTACAATTGTGCTTCGAGATCATCGTTCTTCCTTTTTGTCTCGGCGATTTTCCCCATTAAATCCGTCTCAATTTGAGCCACTTTTGCTGTCAATTGACTCATCTCAAAGTCTTTGTCCTTCGTTTCATTCTGCTCTCTTGTGCTGAATACTCAAATTACTCAATACTCAAAATCCAATATTGTTGAACTCACAAGTCGGCTTTCAAAACGGAGATGGTCCTTGAGATTCTCACGTCTCAGTCGACAAGAGCTACAAAATAAACTCACATTTGGGTCTCGAGGTCAGAGATTGTACTCTGCAACGCGTTGATTTTTCCCTCGAGCTCTCCAATCTTAGCCTTTCCTTTTCCCCTTTCCACATTTTGATCGCTTCTAAAAAAAACCCAATTTTTATCTCTATTTTCTGTTGACAGAAACGAAAATTATAAATTTGATACAATTGTGCTTCGAGGTCGTCGTTCTTCCTTTCCCAATCTCGATTCCTCTCCAAATCAGAAACCAAATCAACCTTCAAATTCGCGATCTTCTCCGTTAAATTCGCCTCGATTTCAAACATATTTGCTGCCAATTGGCGCATCTCGACCTCTTTGTCTTTTTTCATTTCTTCTCTAAACTCTTCGATTAACTAACGACTGTTTTTGATAGAAGCAGAGATTTGGCGAAAAACCTACAAATCCTCTTCGAGTTGGGTGATTTTCTTCAACGAGATGGCCGTCTCTTCTATGCGTTTGACACTCTTTTCCGGCAATTCTTCAGTCATTTCGGGCATCTCTGGAGATTTGGAAAAAGAAGAGATGCTCTGAAGACATCGAGGAGAAAGATTCGAGAGATTGTCCATTTCGGTTGCTAGACGATTGAATGCCTACAAAATGACTGAATTTCCTCGAAGAACAAGTGAAAATTAAAGGGAACAGCTACTAAAGAAGCATAATTGATGAGAGAAGACAAAATCAAACAAGAAATTTGTGGCCAAGCAAAATAGGGATTTCTTACCACGGAAAATAAAGAGAAAGGAGGGGAATCCCCGATTTACAAATGACAGGGAATTTGAGTTTGAAACGGCTCAATGTGACGATTTTTTTTGGAAAGATGAGCCGTAATGGTGTTCGTTGAGAACAGGAATTGCTTCTCCACTCGTCCGTACTTTTTGTGCTCCTCGAAAGAGATTATCAAATGATTTCGGTCGATTCCCTCAGAACTTTCGATACAGATTCTGTCCAATCTTCTGAGAAACAAGCATTTGTCTTGAGATCGGTGGCTTTCCTCTGCTCCAAGAACATTTTCCATTTCCAAGGAAATTAAAACAAATCATTGAGGAATCATGAAGCATTCTTGAAGAATTCTTAACAAAACGCTGCTTTCTTTATACCGTTCTGATGAATCTAGACTGGACACTTACTCAAAGAAGCTGATGATGAATGTTTTCCCGTTTGCCTCGGCACTGTATAAAAAAAGTATAAAATGAGTACAAAAGGATGATGAAGAGAATTCAGAGCTTGATTCGGAGTCAGATTTCTTCCTCTTTCCGCCTTTTTCCAAAAAGTCGCGAAGATCCACCCTAAAATTTATATACTTATTAGCTTTCTCATTGGATTCTAGAAAATCTCTAGACTTACGGATCACAGATTCTTTCATACAGCTTTGGAATTCCCATCATTTGAGCCAAGTCAAGGAAAATGGTTTTGATGTAAATCCTGCCCGAAGAAGTTCAAAGAAACTAACTTCAAATTCACGTTTCAGCCGACAAAAACGCTCGCAGAGAAGTCCATAAAACCTTTCATAAGTACGTTGCTGTGCACAACAATCAACGAGCATGTGAATGAGTTCCGGCTAAAATGAAAAAAAATGTGGCTCTTTTCTATTACTTACCTTAAAATTTAAGAAAAGCGGTTTCCACGGTTAAAGTACCTAATATTTGGAAAGAGCCAAAAGTGTTTTATATTTTATCAATAAGCCCAACCTCCAATTCTGGCTTGACACCCATTTTGAGAAGTTTGTGAGCAGCCTCTTAACAGTCGAGTGGTGTCAAGTAAACTTCGCGACGGACAAAAACCGCCAAAAACGAAAAAAACGCTCGCAGAGAAGTCCATAAAACCCTTCATAAGTACGTTGCTGTGCACAACAATCAACGAGAATGTGAATGAGTTCCGGATAAAATGAAAAGAAATGTGGCTCTTTTCTACTACTAGGTACCTTAAAGAATCGGGTACCCTAAAATTTAAGAAAAGCTGGTTCCACGGTTAAAGTACCTAGTAAAGAAAGAGCCAAAAATGTTCTATATTCTATCAATAAGCCCAACCTCCCATTCTCGCTTGACACTCATTTTGAGAAGTTTGTGGGCGGCCTCTTGATTGTCGAGCGATGACCGAATTGTCAAGTAAAGTGTCTACCGTTTGCAGCTGCCTCATCGTCACCACCTTCATCCTCGTCCTCTTCTTCCGATTCCTCATCACTTTCACCGGCCTCACCAAATGTTCACGGATCTTGTTGAAGGCAGCTTCATTTTTCTCAAAATCGGGATCCAATTTGAAAATGCGTGTAAAGTTTGTTTGAAAGCCAAGTTGATGGACAATTAAATTTTTTAGTTCACCCACTAAGCATATTTTCAGGATCGGTAGCATATTCAAGGGAAAGGGAATGTGTAATTTGGTCCTCTTCCGAAATAAGATCGAGTTCATCAATTAAAGCTGGGTAGTCCTTAACGAATAAACCTTGCCAGGCAATAGAACTAAAAACTGACCGCAAATTTATCTCTCCGAATTGTCATAGCAGTTTCAATCATATACCGAATACGTGAATCCAATTGTGCTTCAGCAAGAATGTTTCGAAGTCTTGAGAAAACATTCTCCAAGGCACGCGGGGCAATCTAACAATTCATTTCTCAATAAACGTTTCTAAATAAAGCAAACCTCTGTCAGTTTCGCGCCACATTCTTTTAGAAAAGCTATACACACTTCCCCTGAATCTTCCGTTGGTATTTGCAGCGTCAAAAGCATGATCTCAAGAGCAAGCAACCCGTGACCCTAAATATGCATCGCATTCATATTCAAACAGCATAACACTTGTTGATTGATCAAATGTGCGAGAAATTTACTGACAGTCGCCGTTGTTGCTTTGTCGTTTCGACGAAAAGATAGCTTGAACTGCACAATCAAACGACTAAATACATAATTCCTAAAGCGTAAAACTGTGAAAAATACTTAAGTGTTAATTCATCAATAACAGGAAACCCTGGAATCAATCACGCCAACCAAACCAGCGTATATATGTGGAAATGTTGAAAAAAGGTTTGTGTTTGAATCATCGATCCAGTCAGCAAACCCCAAAAATTTTGTTTACTTGAGAAAATGCTAAAAAACAAACTTTCCACGGGTAATGTTTTCTTGAAGAAGCTCTTTCTTGAAGAAACAATTCCGACAAGCTTGCTCGCGTTGAATTTATTGACCATCTTTTTCTTCAGACGCTCCCAATTCAATCGTTGAAATTGCTCACCTGATTTATCCTAATTTTTTTCTGTGGCCACGTAACTCTTTGATCAGCTTCGCTGGTGGGATGTATGCGCCTCTAGTGCGAGAATGCAATAAATCAACAAGCTCTTTCTTTTCCTAAAATGTATTTACCTCAACAAAGTTTTCTTGTATACTTTTTGAGGAGCGCATTTTCCTTTTCTGGTGATTCTTCACGTCGAGCACGTTTTCGCGTTAGCGACCTAAATCACTAATACTGAATGCCACCGAGAATAAACTAACTGTTTCCGCCGTTCAGGACTGGAACTGGCATCACGCTTTGGTGATTGAGATCTAAATAATTTCCATGAAAAAAGGTGCAAAGCTCTATTACCATCTTCGCCTTTCTGGAGAAGCTTTAGGTTTAGGGGATGGTCACCTAAATCAGCTGTAAACAAAGACAATTTTTAAAACTAACCGTCATCGCCTTTTCGGAGAGCGGTCGCCACCTCTGCGTCTTTCTGGTGAACGTTCATGGTCCCAACGGCCACGGTCCTGGTCCCCTCGATCCCGGTGCCCCCGATCCCGGTCCCCGCGATCTCGCTCCCCAAGGTCATGATCATGATCTCGAGATCTGCGTCTTTCTTTGGCTTTACGTCGTGACCTTTTTGGAGATCTACGAATCAGAATGTATTCTCAGTGTGCAAATGCCAACACTACCGACTCTTGCCTCGAGCTTTTGATTGATGACGGCGAGGAGTTCCCTTTCTTGGACTAGCGGATCGTGAGCTGCAATTGTTGTGCTCACTAGTTGCCGTCAAGATTTGCTCAGCTAAAACTTAACACAATAACTTCATTGAACCTTGTTTAAGTTAGTGTCTTTTTTTCTTCGACTCAAATTGTAGTGATTTAGCTCGAAAGCTGTCAAATACTTTTTAAATTTCGAAACTACTACAGCAACGATCAGCATAGTTCAAAAAACATATTTTTCTCTGCTATTTTGCCGAGATACATCTGCCTTTTTTTCCGAGCTCTGGCTCTGACGACTTTTCGTTACTAAAGAGATTTGGATTTGGCTAGCAAAAGCTTTTAATCAACCAACATGCCAATGTACTCGTCCTCTGGAGAGCCTTCCCCGGAGCCAGATGGAGTCCCTGGAGCGGCCCATCTTAAACTACCTAAATGTTTCCTCGTCATAAAACTGAGTTCTGGTAGTGCTTCACACCACAGCAACGACATTTCCTTTTAATTCGCATGTAAACTTTCCAGTTTATAGGTATTGCGTTTGATTCACGCACCATGAACCGTTAATATAATTAACTCAACAAATCAAACTTTATTGATAAAAATACGGAAGAAATCAATAATAACGTTAGCCATCTAAAACATAAAAAATTTATTTGCGAATGCCTAGGCCTAAGCAAGCTTCCTCGTCATATATCTGACTGTTCACAAGCGACATAAAAACTAACAAAATTCAGAACGTACCTCTCCAAACTAGCTTTAAGCTATGCCATAAAAACTTTGGTACTTTTCCAACATCGGGGGAGCGGAAGGATGATCGGGGGAGTGAAAGTAAAATCGGGGGAACAAATTTTGCCCCCTCGAAAAATGCATTTCCGAGACTGTATTTTTACTGCAAAGTTTTTTTTAACTTGAACGACGATGCGCTTCTCCGACATTTGTGCGTTCATGGAATCGACGGCAATCGATTATTTCGTCATCAAAGCAGTCATCCAGTCGTGGATTTGCAACTGTGGCGAATCGATAAAAGTCCGCTCAAAGGGAAAAGATCTATTTCGCTAGGTATGTAACACTTGCGCACGGCGAAAGGTCCCCAAGCATTCAAGAGGAGTTCGAGTCGATAACTTTTTGCAACAAAGCAAGTTCCCGTTCGTCACAATTTTAAAGTTCATTCATCTATGGAGCCAGGGACTCACGACAATCAAATACTGTCAGCAGAAGCTCGGCATTAGTGGCGACACCGTTGTTGAGTGGAACTACTTTCTCCGCCAAGTGTGCGCTTGGAAAATCAAGAAGCTTTCGATTAACAAGATCGGTGATGCCGTGACTCACCTTGGAGGTCGATGAATCGCTGATCGCAAAGCGCAAAAACCACGCCGGTAGGATGCTGCCAGAACGTTGGCTTTTTGGTGGTCTGTGTCGTGAAACAAGGGAATGCTTAGCTTTTATTGTGCCAAATCGGACGGCTCCGGTTCTGCTTGAAGCTATTCGAAAACATATCGAAAATGGGACTCGAATCATCTCAGATGGGTGGCGTGCATACCAAGGGACTCATCTCACTGCCCCAAATTACGACTTT